TTCCTAATACGACCACATAAACTACGCATCAAGCCTATTACCGATAAGGTCTATCCTGGATTTAACTTTTTGGATGATATCCGTGAAATCAAAAAGTACATTAAATTGCAGTTCGTAAACTAGCGTTTATATACCAGGGTTCGTTAAATAACAAACTGTATATTCTGAAGCATAACATAAATCCTGCTTATATCCAAAATAGCACCGCTTCCCATACACATTGCATTTATTATTCATTTCATACATACAGTTCATTCGTAGCATAAATTTGTTTCTAAACATCACATTCTTCAAAAACGCACGTGATGGACACTTCAGGTTCTTATTTCAGTTAGTTATAATTTCTGTTTTACAGTTCTATGTGGTCTTCATTTTTATTCATCGTAAGTCTTAATACGGCAGAACAAAACAAACAAACTTATGCATCATTATGACTATCCCTAGCTCACTGGTTGAATAATAAAACATTAGAAGCCTGATTACAGTTGACACACTATTAATCAGATTTACAAATTATTTCTAACTTAAGTTATGATGCTCTGTAAAAATTGACTGATTCTGTGTAAGGTTATATATCTGTCTACACCTTTGCTGAGATGCACATATGTTGTATAACCTTTAAGTCACAAACGGAAAGACAACGCATAAAATGTCCTTAATTAGGGATATCTGCCCCCAACGTGACAGAAGCTCAAAAGTCCGTTCTCTCACAAGGTCTGAATTTTGCCCCTGCTCCACATGAAGTGCCAGTTCTCGAAATTGCGACATCGATTTAACGCGCATATCTAATAAATAACAAGACTGCCATCCGGGACTTCGCCAAACTAGCTGCTGTCGAAGTTCAAAAATTTCAGATAACTGGATCCAATCTAAGTAAGTCTGAACAAACTGCTTTAAAACAACTGGAAAAGGATTAAAACATTGTCATAATGAAAACAGATAAGGGAAACGCAACCGTCGCTATGGATAAAGAGAAATATCTATCTGCGCAGAGCTGCTTAATAACGGCTATGGCCCGCCAGATAAAGATCCAATAAAACGGTTGATAGAGTCCCTGAAAAAAAGTGATAACAACAATGCAAGAGAAGAATGAAATGTGCGCTCTCCAAGTAAAGGGCACATTATTGAAACTTCACTACAAATGCAACTGGTTGCCTCCTGAACTGTACTGCTTACCAAAGATCCACAACCCGAATATTCCTATGCGACCTATTGTTACATCATCATCTTACATTTTGGCTTTGATTGCACGACTACTTCGCCCTACCATTCAGTCGTACACGGGTAAGTTGCAATCATATGTAAAAAATTCAGAGAATTCATCGAAGAGATTGTCCAAAAAAAGAACGACAACGATGAAATTATGGTGAGCTACGACGTAAAGGACCTCTTTACCAGCATCCCTGTCGAATTCGTAATTGACCAGTCGAAGAACAACTGACAAAAGACCTAGACCTTAAGAACACAACAACACCTTAAAACACTCTTCTCCACAACTTCGATTCTTAAATTGCTCCGGGTATGTCTCATTGGTTTCAATTACTTTCAGTTCAATGGAAATCTATATCATCATTACAAAGGAATCCCTATGGGATCACCTCTGTCCGATGATCTGGCTGATACATTTATGGAACATTCAGAACACTTGGCCTTCACTATGTGTGACAAAGATGCCTATCCAACCTTTTTCAAAAAATATGTTGATGACATATTTGATCTTTGTAAAAATGGAACTGAAGCGCCGTTTTTGAAACATTTGAACAGCCTATTCCCAAGACTCGTCGCTTCCACTATGGAGAAATAAGAAAACGGCACCCCCTTTCTTGGATGTCCAAGTAAGACACAGCACCAGCGGAAATATTTTACCACGATGTTCCGCAAGAAGACGGATACTGACAAGTATCTACATAACTCTTCTTATCATACAGAATGCGCAAAGAAGGGTGTCGTCAATACACTTCTCCAAAGAGGCCGGAAGATAGGCACAACAAATGATGATTTTCGCCAAGAATTAAATCACATCAGATCGACGCTAAAGAAGAACGGCTATCACATGAAGACTTTTAACGTAGGCTTGGCAAATTTATCAAAACAAAGGGTGTCTCTCCGCTCCCCTGATAACAACATCTACATTTCCTTGCCATACGTTCGCCAGATGAGTGAAAAGCTGCGACGCATTGGATCTGCATCCGGACTCAACCTGGTGCTACTCTACGTAGCCGAATAAGCCACCTCAAGACCCAGAAACATAAGGAGCAGAAAGCCGGTTGGGTGTACCAACTCCCGCGCTCCTGTGGAGCGGTTTACATAGGCGAAACGGGTAACACTGTTGAAGAAAGGAAGACAGACCACATGAGGAATCTCATCAGGTGGAAGAACGCTGACGCTAGAGAAAGGGGTCAACAGCAAGTCGGTAGAGATTGGAGACAGACGAAAAACCCTGGACTTATAAAGGCAGAATGCGAGAAAAATTGTGCCATTGTGGAACATGCTGTTACCCACCAACACAACATATCATGGGACAGAATGAAAGGTGTTGCGCGGGAACAACAATATCTGTCCCGCAAAGTCAAGGAACCGTTACTGATTCGAACAACCAACTCCATCAATCGTGACCTTGGAACAGACGTCAGCGACAAATGGACCGCAAACATCAGGCGGCCGATTAATACTAGAAAGGAAACACGGCACCATTAATCACACAGGTCAACCAGACCCGAATGAAAAAATTATATGCCTTTTGTCACTGTACTCTGAAGACGTCAGATGTCCCTAATTAAAGACCATTTTATGCGTTGCCTTCCCGTTTGTGACTTACCTAAAGATTATATCACCTCCTCCATAAAGAAATCATGTACGATTTTCAATAGGCTGTATAACATTACTGTACCCTAAAAAGTTTAAAAACATTTTCGAGAATTACGAAAATAAGTTTCTAAAAGGTGTGAATTTTAGTCTTAGACTCTTAACCGCTTCCCAGAACTTTTGCCAGGAGAGACCTTATTTGAACAAAGATGTTTTTTAAACAGCTGCATCTCTCAAACGCGAGTGGTGTATTCTGGAAAAGGGCTGACTGTAATGGCGAATAAACATCGATTCTATTGCAATACGACTGACTACCTGTAAAATTTACAGCGTTTAAAAAAAACGATAAGTTGGAATCTAACACCGTCAAGTGTAACAAAGACAGTATATTGCTCAGTAGCAGCCGATTACATATAAAAATTCATTTTCTAACGACGCCGTCAGTCTGAATCAAAACAAATTCGACTCTGCACAAGAATTTTCTAGATAGTGCATAAATAATACAACATTGCAATCGGAGAATAACGAGGAAGTACCGGAACTAAAAAGGAAAAAGATGTTTTTTCCGTTAAATCTAGGATATACTGAACCCTGATATGTTAGGAATCTTCGCTGTCAATCTCTGAAAAAATATCAATGCTATTCACCTAAGCATTTGAACTTCAGAAAAACAGGCAGCAGCTGGGGGAAGAATGATCGAATATGATCTGGAATCAAAACGAGAACTGGAACTTTTCATTTCCACCGCTTTCACTCAAAATTTTGACGATTTAGAGATCAAAAGTTTAAGAAAAATAATCGGTACAACTGTGTTATACATAGCAAACAACAGACACTTTCGGCATACTGTAACTCATCTAAAAAGTTTTAAACAAACTGCTCATCACCATCACTACACTAGAGGACAGAACCTTGTCTACAAGAACTCGTAAACGAGAGTTTAGATAGAATTATTAGTAAATGAGTAGTCTTCAAGCACAAAGACGGAGTTGGTGTACTATCTGCCATTAAGCAATCAACATGTTCGATCTGGGTTACTTGTAAATATGACAAGATGAAGATAAATCTCAAAATTATGATTTACCTCGCCATCTTTGCCATCCCACGGCTCAGTTACCACAATGTCTGGCAGCTTATCGTCTTTGAATGCAGCAGTAGAACCCCGACCAAAAGAAATCCCTCTGAAAACACGGCGCCTTTATCAGTTCGTGATGCACCAATAATATTAACTCTACTGAATTTCGGAAACAGTGCAATAAACAAATAAATGGTCACCTGGTGTACTCGCTAATGTACTAAGCTTCTCATCATAATCAGGGGAAGACCGCAACTGATTTATAAATCCTTTAATTGAAAGAAGGATAGGAAAACTAATGTAAAATAGATAAAACATCTGAACTTAAAGAACCCTCTCCTGAAAGAAGAGAATTTGACACCAGAGAAACATATATGAAAGTAAAATATAAGAAAATGAATGAGATTCGGTGGATAGTTAAAAAATTTTCATGATCGGAAGAGAGAATCAGGTGACAACTAGTAGAAAAAATGTCCAGAATTCGCCACTGTAAATGCTACAAGTAGGTGCGAAACAATGAGGACTTTGTGAAGAACGCTTATGATTAAAACTATGGAATGAAAAAAGGCCAGAGAAATCAAAATTTTGTTTCAAGGCGAGCAACAAAATCTTTGTTTTTCTACGGATATAACCACTATCGGAAAAAAATTTCTATACTGAAAACGACAGTGAGCAAAATAGTAATCGCGCGCTACGGTGAAATACAGTCGTGCGTGTCTCTTTTCGACGACTACAGTACTGGAAACTTATATTTCAGTTTAACTGTCAGTCAATAAAGGGGCAGTGGTTATCAGAAGATAACAAAACTCCTTATGCGCGTAGAACAAACCCACCTACGAAAAAATCGCTTTGGCTATAAACCGAGCAACTGGCGCTCTCAACAACTGTATCAATTCTAGGAAAAACTTCATCACGTGGTTATCTGAACCAAAGATAACGCCAAGTTTTTGTTATACACATAACCATATTGATACCCCACAAAAAAATTAAACTGTGTTCTAGATGAGGCCCCTGTGACAAGCTAACCAAGCAAGAACACGTTACCCGTTTTCAAACATAACTTAATCACCTCTTTTATTATGCAAAACAATTAAAATCAAGCAAAGTATAGGGAAAAAGTTTACCGTAAAAATTCGCTTATACCCTGACGATCAAAGGAACCTTTAAATATGGAATGCTTCACCTTACGCGCATTCACAACCGACATTGCCTAAATACAAATTATTCGTCAACCACAGTCAAATCAAAGCCAAAATATTACCGG